GAATAGTTGGATGGTTAATTGAAACACGGAATTTCTTCGGTATTGTTGAAATGGAAGACTTCCAGAAGAATGGATGGAATTGCTGGGAATATTATTATCTTGTGAATTCTTTATTGTAGGTTTTAGGAATATTTGGAAGGACTAATGAAATTGTTTAAAGTATTACCATTAGCAATTCCTTTGTGGCAACTCCAGCAGATATCTAAAAGTCTTGCACAGAAATGAATAAAATCTAAATCCTTCTTTATACTCCTGAAAACTTTCAAGAGGCCGAATAAACTTATCCAAAACACTACCATCGGCAATTCCTTCATCGCAATTCCGACAGATATGTAAAATTCTTTCGCAGAAATGAATAAAATCTAAATCCTTCTTTATACTTCCCAAAAACTTTCAAAAGGCCTAATAAACTTATCCAAAACACAACCATCAGCAATTCCTTCATTGCAACTCCAGTAGATATCTCAAAGTCTTGCACAGAAATGATTAAAATCTAAATCCTTCTTTATACTCCTCAAAAACTTTCAAGAGGCCTAATAAAATTATTCAAAACACTACCATCAGCAATTCCTTCGTCGCAATTCCAACATATATGTAAAATTCTTCCGCAGAAATGAATAAAATCTAAATCCTTCATTATACTTCCCAAAATCTTTCAGAAGGCCTAATAAAATTATCCAAAACACTACCATCGGCAATTCCTTCATCGCAACTCCAGCAGATATCTGAAAGTCTTCCACAGAAATGAATAAAATCTAAATCCTTCCTTATACTCCTCAAAAGCTTTGAGAAGGCCTAATAAAATTATCCAAAACACTGCCATCGGCAATTCCTTCATCGCAACTCCAGCAGATACCCCGAAGACTCTCAGAAAGATATAAAAATCAATAAAATCTAAATCCTTCGTTATATTCTCCACAAGTATCTAAAAGTCCCCAAAAACAATCACTAAAAATCATAAAAAGGGTGTCAATTACACAACAATTCCTCTGAAACACCTCTAATCTATACCTAATTTAACTTAACCTCCAAAAGCATGAATAAAATCATCAAGAAGCGCTATCACAGCGTCTAAACTCGCGTAAAAAAGTATTCTTCGTTAAAAAAACGAAAAAGGAAATACTTTCACTGGAAGGATCCGTGAGATCGAAGGAAGGAGAACAGAAGAGGAGTCCGCCATTATATTGTCAACCGGTAAGTGCAGGTTAGAGGCTACTGGCGGAGTTCACGAAAGCCGCGTTGCCCCGTAGAGAGATGAGAGGCGGCAATTCCGGCAAAAATAATGACTCTTTGTAAGCGTTCACGTCTGCATATCCGTTGTTTCGGGCAGACGCGCCGCGGTTAATTACGGGGCAGCCGGCAGTTCGCGTAATTATTCGTCCTCGAAGAAGCGGCGATTATAAAACGATTATCGACAAGGATCGCCCGGTAGCTTCGGCGAGAAGCAGAAACGCCGCTTCCGTGGAAACGATTTGTCTCAGCTTCAGCTTCTAACACTCTCCTTTTTCTCTCTCGATCTCCTTAGAAATTGCTTCGAATGTCCACCATGGAGTGTCTTTTTCGTTTTGACAGAAGTTTAGGGTGTTTAGGATGTTTTGGTCCAAGTTGTGAGTTCTTATCTATCTTAATGTCTTGGTATTTTTATTCTTCTTCGTTTTCGAATTTTTGGAGGAATTGCTGAAGTGTCAGTGCAGAGTGTCTTTTTGGAGAATGTGGATTGTTTAGGGTGTTTTGGTCTGAGTTGATTTCTTGTTAGTTGGAGAGAGGATTCTTAAATTTAAGGTGCTTAATTCTTGCTACTTCTATTCTTCTTTGCCTTCAAATTTTTAGAGGAATTGCTGAAATGTCAGTGATGGTGTATTTGGATGATCGAGTATTTTATAGGACGTTCTGATTCCAATTCATTTCTTGTTAATTGGGGAGCAAATTTTTTAATTTAAGGTGCTTAATTCTTGAAATTTTTAATCTTCTTCGTCCTCAAATTTTTAGAGAAACTTTTTAAACGTTGATATTGAAGTGCTCTCGTCACTTTCCCATGAAATAAAAATCAAATTTTCAATCAAAACGATCAAAATTCAGCTTAATCTTGAACAGCACAGTAATTCAATTCTAAAATTATTCAACTTGCTAATTCTCTCCTTAGAAAATCTGACAAAAGCTAAGTACATAAAACTCGGATGCTTTTATGCGACAAGTAAGCTGTCAAGATAGCGTTCGATAATTCTTCCATCTTCTTTTCCTTTTTACCTTTCTTACCCTCTTACCGGAGAATATAAAAGTCATTCTCATTTAGTGCCTCGAACTTTACGAGCTGCCAATAAAACTTTTATCGTTCTACATAGACCCATAGCTCCGCGTCCCGTATCTCCAATAGCTCCGCCATTTTAATCCATTCGTCATACTTAACTAGTTCAATTCAAAGGCTGGCTTGGTGAATGAAACGCACACGTGTATCGTGAAGAGATGATATAATTTATTTCGCTATATCGTTAGAACACGAACTGAATCATCCGAATGACCGTACAATCCTACGCCTTTGCACGTCCAGTAAAATCACAATTCTTTTATGTACAACGTATTTACAAAATGGACTGGTCGAGCGTGCAGGCTGATCGTTCGCCAAGAATCCACACACCGTTCATTTCTCTCTCTCTCTCTCACTCTTTCTCTCCCGATCCAGGCAAGTTTCGTCAAACTTGAATCACGTCTGAATCGATCCTTCCGTCCGATGATTTTTCTCCCTAGTCTCCCCGAGTTAAGCGAGAACTCTATGTGAACGGGGCTAAGTATCGACGCATCGAGAAGACCGGGAACGAAGAAAAGGATGAAACGTTCCTGAACATGTCGATTCCTCGCGAACGATCATCGTTCGCCGATGCCACGCCCAGCTGTCCCGCTAACGTAATCGATAGAATAATTTAAATCGTCAGTACATCGATTCGACAAAGGGAAATACTGGTCGCTCGTGGGACAACGACGTTAAATACAATCGCAAATTACAACTCGAGTTTACACTGGGTTTTCATTTTTTTTTTGTTCTTATTCTTTCTTCACTCTCTCTCTCTCTCTCTCTCTCTCTCTCTCTAAAAAGGGTACGAACGTGATGGTGGTTTGGCACTCTCAATCTCCTTCCATTTTCTCCTCTAATGTCGTTTTTCACTCACGCACACACATACAGACAGACACATACTTACTACGCGGCGACCCACTCTTCTTCACATCCATCCTCTTGCTCTGCAAATTTCTTTCACTCGCATACTTCTTTTACGTTTCTCGTTCTCCTTTACGACTTCTCGTTGCGATCACGCGCTCCATCCGCTAACTATTTACACATCCGCCATACATACTGACACGCACGCACACAACGAACAGATACACACGTCCTTCCCTGTGTCTCGGGACAAAAAGAGCGATCCTTTCGTCGTTTCTACGCGAGACGCGGGACGGTTGATCCGCCACGGATCACAGTCTACGATTCTTCTCGATATTTATTTATGTACACGAGGAGCCTGGGCTGCTCCGTTCGCCATCGGACGATCTATGGCAAGATGCGTGTGAACGCGACCATATATCCCATTCAGGATTAAATTCCGGTGAATCCAATTCCCCTTCTTCTATTCCTCTTCTCGAGTCGAATATTCCCGGGGAATATTCTTCTCCCGTGTCTCTCCCCCTCTCTCTCACTCTCTCTCTCTCTCTGCGAATATAGATCGAGGAACTATGGTAAAAAAGAAAAGCATCGACGGGAGGGGGATTGAAATTGATATCGTTGCGCGAGAGGGAACGGTCGCAATTCCATCGAGAGAGAGAGAGAGAGAGAGAGACGAGAAAGTTCCTCGAAGCCGTTTGGGGTTCCCCGACGTCGCTGTTTCCGCCGGAAACCGGTCCATTTGACTTCGTCCAGTCACCGAGGAACAATGCCTCCATTATCGTGCTTCCGAGGCGTTCGAAAGCTCGCGCAATTCCATCTCTCTCGATCCCCCGAGGAAACTCGAAGCGATAGTTGGATAGTGTTTTTTTTCTCCCTCTTTCCCCCGTGAGAGCATTCTTCGTGATCGTTTCGACGCGCGAGGGAACTACGTCAGTCTTGCCAACGGTGGAAAACCACAGTCTTCCGACGATAGTCTATCGACAATTACGCGATTCGTTGAGCTTCGAGTAATAATGCTTCCGTTTCAATTCCTCGATCCTCCGAAGAGATTATCCGGTTGCACGATACGTTGTCGTCGCATCCTCGTACTACTTTGTTCGTTTGCACTCGTCGCTGCGATCTTTGGAAATTCGCGGCACACGCAATTCCACGACAATTCCATTGTCGCCGATGCTCGATTTACTCCTAGCCTCTTCTGTCTGGCGTTCACGCTTCGTTTTCTTCTTCTTTCTTCGGTTCGTCACTGTACCGTGGTAGATTCGTTGGAATTTCGCGCAACTCCAACGATTCCCCGACATTTCTGAGCAGTTTGTAAACGTTAGCTTCCTAACAATGTTTTTAATTTTTTTTTTTGGTTCCTATCGACAGTTCTATCTCATAGAAACTCGAAACTTCTGCGCACCGTACACTATTTTTGAAACTCCGGCAATTCCGTCAAAGTCCCTCCCTCCCGTTACACAACTTCCTCCCTCCCAGTTCTTTTAAACTCCGGCAATCGTCACTCTACACAATCTTTGGAAATTTACAATAAGAATAAAATTCTTGCCTGGACAATTCCATCGGTTCCTCCCGATTCCTCCTCCGCCTTCGCGTGGACATTCTCCAAAACATCGTCCTCTATCGTCTCATACCGCGCAATTCCAGTTTCTCCTGCTGCGTGACCGGGCAATTCCGCCGAGCTGTCCGTCGAGGGCGGCACGAAATCCCGAGATTTCTCGTTCCTCTCTCACCTTTCTCGGCGAAGAGTCGACCCGTCGGGATGGAGCAATTCCAGCGACCGAGTCGCAAGGACGTTACTCGTCGGTCAGACGAAATTCCTGGCGGCTTAGTCCAGGCAGAGAACGTCTAGCTACGCCTCCGAGCCGCTAGAACACTCCTCGGCCTCGGGATCGATGTGCTCCTCTTCCTCCTCCTCCTCGTGGTGATAGTCCCCGGTCTCCTGTTGCCATTTGCTCACGTGATGGGTGTTCTTGTTGTTGGAATTGTTGTTCGCGTTCCCGCCTCCACCGCCGCCGCCGCCACCACCTCCGCCCCCTGACTGCTGCTGCGCCTTCGCCTCCTCCTCTTGCTGCATCCGCTTGTGCTTCGTCCGTCGGTTCTGGAACCAGACCTTCACCTGCAACACCAAGGAATTGCTCTTCGTTAATTCAATTCCACTATGTATTTCAACGAATTTATCTGGACTACTGTCCATAACCGTTCGACCAATTTCCACGATGGAAACCAGGGATTTAATTCGTCTTATTAATCCTCGTTTTAAAAAAAATACAATTCCTTCGAAGAATTGTATCGTATATTCGAGTAAACAATAAGACACAAAAGGGAACTTCGAGGAATACTTATAAACGGTAAGTGTTAACTGTTTCGAAGCACCCTGTGTAATTCAGGTAACGTATACACGTATAAATACGCACGTTCGAAGTGGAAACGAATGAAATTCCAGTCGAGCTGTCCCTTTCATCCTGACGCGGCACAAATCATGCCGCAATAAAGCGTAAACGGCTCAGTGCGCGTCATTTCCCTCCGGCAATCGATTCGTCCAATCGGAGAGCCCGTGGGGGCTGTCGACCCTCGAGCCTTCGGGCAAATTAAGTGGCAACTAGTTATAATCCACCCCAGTGTATCAAGGAACCACCCCTTAAACGTGGTGTATCCGGTTACAATGGCTCGTAACCCCTCTCCCGGTTCGAGAAAAAGAGAGAGAGGAATGAAGAAAGGGATGAAACGACTCTGCCCGAACGTGTGCCATTGTCCTCGAATTGACTGTTAGATACACATTGTGCCCTGTTCCTGCTTCCTGCAATAGAGGGAGAAGGGTTGAAAGGGCTCCCATTTTCGAACTATCAACGCGTGAAATCAGCATTGTGACTCTGCGTGCTGGATGAACGGATAGATGGATCGAACACACAGAGGGAAAAGGGGGTGGACAAATGGGAAGGGATGTTTGTCTAACATCCGATCCAACCGTGGTTTTGACAAGACCCGGATTAACCTCCGTCGGGGAGCGAGAAGAGCATCGAGATGATCATCTAGCGAAGGGGTGGGATACGGTTTGCAAATGGGGATTTTGACACCGTAGCTTGAATAGGGGTGAAATGTTTGGAAGTTCGAGCTGATGGCTGAGTTTGGCAAGCTTTTGGTGATTTTTCTTTCTTTATCGCAGGATTATTAGGAATTTCGTGGTGAGAAGTTTGGGAGGTGCCTACTGAGATATTGATATTTTGGGGCAGAAATTGTTGCGAGTGAAGTATGGGGTGGGGTGATTAAGGGTAGAAATAGAAATAGAAATAAATTAAGATTTTTGTAGTCGTCAAAATATTTGAGTCTTCGTATTTCGTAAAATAAGAATTCTATAAATAGGTTCACCCCTTAGTGGCAGTCATTACGTCCATTAAACTGCTATCAAGTAATTCAATTGCTGTTAATAAATCGAATTTATTAAACCCAATCGAAAGACCCCTATTGTGCCTAAGGATACAGAGAACCAATCAACTGAAACCTGGCGAAACCATCTTCCCCTAAGTGCTAGATCTTTTCCAACTTGGGAAAATGAAGGACGACTTAAAATCTTGTAAAATTTGGCTCCGTTAAAATGTCAAACGTTAAAAATTCTAATTACGAAATGTAGTTCGAGGGGTTTAACAATTGGAAACTCCAGAAATCGTTCTTTTTCAACCACCCAATTTGCCAAAATTCAAAGCATCCGATACAATGTCACAATTTACTCCACTAGACACCCCAAAAATCATACTTTTCCAAGTACTCCAGACACTCTCGATACAATTATTCTTCTAAAAAACTTCAACAAACTCGACTCAAGAAATTCCGAAAATCATTTCCTCACGAACACCTCGTCCCACAAATTCGAAGCACCCAAAACATCACAATTTACTCCAAAAATCATTCTCCCCCAAGTGCTCAATTTCCCAAAACCCAAAACACACCGGAAGCAATTCTTTCTCCAAAGAAAAAAAAAAAGAAATCCCGAAAATCCTCTGGCTACCCACAATTCCGCCATGATTCGAAACAGAAGCACCTAAAAATCCTCGCCACCGGGTTAGCTCCTCGGAATAAAATCCGGCTGAATACAGCGTCGCGTATAAATCGTCCAAGCTGTTGGAAGCTTTTATGCGATTTTTACAACGCTCCTCCATAAAATACTGACGTCGATGGAGCGACTCGACGGGGGTGGCTTCCTCGTTTCGAACGTGTTGGAAGGGTGAGCGAGGTGGAATAAGAGAGAGGAGGAGGAACCGGGTTAAACCGAGTGTAAATCCAGCCGATGGAACAGCAGAGAAAGAGAGAGAGAGAAGAAGGGGTGGTCGGTTTGAAACGCGCGTTCCGGGCTGATCCTGGGGAATAGGCCACGTACGGTGCGCGAAAAAAGGGGGTGGCCGGGGTTTCCGCGTGCGTGAAGATCCGCCAATCGGGTTTCAGGACCGCCCGCGGTCGCCATGGCAACCCTCGGGGACGTAGGGTGATTACGAAATGGGGGTAACTCGATTAAACGTACGACGTGGAGGGTCCTGGAGGGAGCGTTACCCATCGAGAAGGGGGATGAAAGGTATACGTGAACACCAGGCAACGGGTTTGCGCTCTCTATTTGCCCTGTTAATCATCCGTTAAGTGCCACAATCCTCGAAAAGTTCCCCTGGGTACACACGAGCCTCTTCCACTCTCTCTTTTCTTTGCTCCTGCTCCTCTTTTTCTCTCTTGATTACTCTCTCTTGGTCTCTCCTTCATTTTTCCTTTTTCCTTGCAGTCTCTCCCTCGCTCTCTATCTCTTCTTGCTTCCTTCGATCTCTTCTTTGCTCTTCTTTCCCTTTTTCTCCCTGGATTCCTCTCTCTCTCTTGGCCTCTCCTTTCCCTATGTCGTTTCTCCTCGCTATCTCTCTATATCCCTTTTTGCTTCCACTCGCCTTCACTTTGCTCCCTTTTCTCTTCTTGTCTCCGATTCTTCTCTCCTGGTCTCTCCTTTTCCATCTTGATCTCTTCTTCGTATTTTCTCTCTTCTCAGTCACTCATTTCTTTTCGCTTCCCTTTCTCTCCTATACTCCCTCTCTCTCTCTGCTTTTCTCTTGGCCTTTAATTTCTCTACTTCCCACAGTCACTCCATCTTTCTCTCCCTTTCTTTCTCCCTAACTCGCTCTCCGCCATACAGTCCCCGAGAAATTTCCTGGCATCGTTACAGACCGTCCTTCCAGTTCGCCCATTAATTCCACAGCTAATTGTTCGCGTTACTTCGCTGAGGAGGGTCGGCAAAGAATTGCGCTTCTTCTACAAGAAGCAGATAAAACTATTCCAAACGAACGGAACACAAAACTTCTACCCTGTCGGTAGAAAAGAATTCACCCTTCAAACACACAGCGTGTCTCCACGAAACTAAATCAAAAATATCCAGTACCATATCTCCCCAAGAAAAAAAAAGGACAGCTCTAAACCTCGACAAGAAAATACCTAACCGAACGACAAACGCTATATCCAGCTATACACGCAAACCTCGACGACGAAGCATCGAAGAAGAACAAGCTCCACAAGTCCCTCTAGATTCCAAGTGGCCGCCCAATGGTGGGGCATTGCTTACCGATCCAAAGGACGCCAATTACGCCCATGAGAGCGTCGCCATCAATCAGCGAAATTTCCGAAACGCAAATATGGTCAGACAGTCGGTAGCTCGCGACTCCTTTCACGGCGATAGAGGACGTTCCTCTCTCGTCTTCGAACACCTGCGAGCGCGTCTCCAAAGAGCACAGAGACCGACGACTCTTCGCGTATAAGGTGTTCACCTGTCACTTAGACGCGTTCCGGGAGCAGCTTCAATTACGCTTTTCCACCGCGATACACGCGTGTGTACATACGCTCTCGTTATCTCGCGTCGAGGATCAACAGAGACTCTCCGAGAGACTTGTGCGAGCGCGCGCGCGATCCACGCGGATTGATATTAGCTGGTAATACCTCGCTGTAATTCGATCGATCGCGAATGGCCGAGGGGGCCGTGACCGCAGTTAGGATCGGTTATCTCGATCGAGCCTGAGAGTCGTTCCCATGGAACGCTGTTTTTGGAAGAGTTTCCAGGTGATGTTAGAGGCTTCTAGGGTTCTTGCGAGAGGAGATCCTTTTGCGGAGGTTTGGGGACGATCGTGGATGCTTATGCTGGACGTAGGAGACTTTTGGTTCAGTTATCGTGGAGACTTTGTTCAGGTGGTTATTTTATTGCGTATAGAGTGCACGTAAAATATTTGGTAATTCGTTCTTCCGTTCGACTATAGAGTGAAAGTCTTTGGGTCAAAAAAGACCCGATATGAACCTAGACGATAAACTTTTAGTGTGATGTTGGGAGAACATAAACTTGATAACAGCAAAAGTTATTAAAAAATTAAGAAGGTCACGGAGACCGCACTAGGGTTAACATGGTTGCACGATGAAGGTCTATAGTTTCTACAGTTTCTACCGAACTAAGGACATCAATTGAGGCGAAAGAAAAATAGAGATCTAGAACGAAGACAGGAAAACTTACAGGATTTTCCAGTTTAGGTATATAATTTATAATTAAAGTAATTTACTTGTGTTATCTCGAGCTACCTTGTGCAAAGTTCCCACCCACTGCAGGATATCTGCCACACGAATCTGTGTAAAACGTGTGTCGATCGTTCGCAATTAAACTCACAAAGAAGCATAAAACACGATAATCACGAATTCAATTAATCTCGCCTGATAATTGCTATTCTAATTACGTTTACGTATCCAGTCGAACCAGGGCGAGAAAGAAGAAAATAAGGGTAAGTTTCGAGGCCTTTACGTCCCCTGTTAAATATAATTACGTTTATTGGCAGCGTTCGCGGCAATCGACTCTTTTCAACGGCCCCCGCAGAAAATTGGATATTCCCTAATGGAAATTAATACCGCGATTCTCTTCGTTCGAGCAATCTTAATGGTGGTCGGGTGAAGTTTCGTTGTAATTAAAGCTGAACATTTCGCCGCGATTTATCGACGTAGTAACAATATTATCGATGTATCGATAACTATCGATACGATTGTCGATATGTTAACGATACTATCGATATATCGATTTTGTCGATTAATCGATAACTATCAATAAGATATCGATATCTTAAC